GTAAATGAGGAAACGGTGTCCGCTCAATGCACAAAATCAAGCAGGAGCTAATGGCATATTTCGCCTTTTCTTTTTCGTTACCGAAAATAACTTCACCGTAAATAGTTCATTTATCTAAGCTTTAACACAGTAACCACTGATTTGAAATAAATTGCCGTAAAATGAATTATCCACGAGAATCATTGATAAATAAATAACCACAATGTGATCAACAGAGGGGAGGTACTTAGCAAGGATAGGTACTTGTGTTTCATTCGCTTTACCGCTGAAACGTGTTAACGTCAAAGCATTGGTATTGGCTTGACAAAAACTTCAATACTCAGCATCTAAATTGACAGGGCTATATAATCGCACACGTGAAACCGCAGCTGGCTACAGGGATGGGACCAATCCACCTGGTGTGCTGAGAATTCTTGTGGGGAGAGGCGACGTGGAATTTGGTTTCCAAAAGAGTTTCAGTCCAACTGTAATTAATCACGATCATAGTTATCAGCATCATTCTCTGATCATTGTTGTTAGGCCTATACCTTTGCATTCTTATCACAGTGCTTCCTAAACAGAAACGACCGGGAATGCCAAGCGAACATCGAGACACTCACTTAAAAGCTGTAAAAATTTACGAAATTGCCTTCAGCTTTGAGCTTCAGACGGGTTCTTGACTGGTTCCTCTCAGACCTGCGATGGTAACTTTATGAATCCTGGTCCTGGATACCAGTAACTTGACCCGTTGTCATCTCGTCAGTCAGCTGTAGCACGTGTATTTGCTGAAGGACGAATTGGTCGAAGGTCGAATTGAATTCTGGTGTTTGTAGATTTGAAGCCTGGTTACCAGTCTCATCTATCGACTGTTTACGGCGATCTCATTCCCGCGTTCAATACCCAACGGGCTGGAGGATGTACTTCTCCGGTCGTCGGACCCTGGAAAGGTGCTTCCAGACACCTTCTCCTCAGCTTGTTTTGACAGTCTCAGTGCAATATATGCTTTTTCATCGAAGATTCAATATGTACTCTGAAATTCATCTCCCGATATATTGATTTCGTGAAGTCGATTTTGAACAAAGCTCGATTTAGTCTGGGTTTACGCTGTCTGTCTGGCGTTTATGAAGTTTAATTGTCATTCTGCAGACATGTTAAAGCCAAATACAATATTGAAATCAATAGTGGTATTTGTTTCGTGGGATTGGTCTACATTTAGTAGAAGTTTTCATGGTCGTCTTATTTTTTTCTCTCTACGCTTGCCATAAAATTCACAACATTACTGTACAGCTCTTATTCTCAATTTATTTCAGCACAATAACGAATAGCTCAAAGGTATTTCCATTTTGTCTGTCGTTGTATTTTATTCAGCGCTGTCATTTGTCAACCTGTCGTTTGTCCAATGGGTCATGTACAAAAACGCACGCTTCCTCAAGTCCTTACTGAAGGCCTATTTACATTTCTGTACTTCTCTTTTTAATAAGTTTCTTGAGTTTGTTGACATTGACCAGGACGGGCATTTTGGGGAAAGGGGAACATTTTTGTTTCTTTTGCGTGCATAATTCAAAATTTGGTAACATGGTCAAGGCCATTTACAAATAGAGTCCGATGTTAGGTGAAGCAGATTTTACTTCCCGCAGGTTCATGGACTACCATAATCTCACTGCATGATGTACGCCTTGTGGTTATTGTCCATCTTTCTGTTCTAACTACACCCGATCGATAGTCTTAGCCTGTAGTTTTAGCAGATCTATTTGTCTCTTTTTCTGCTCTTCTCTTTTCCCCCTCTCGTTTTATATAATACCGGCACCGCATTCAACCCATAAATGTTTATCTTCCGGGCTAATTGCATAAGTTATTTCATTTCTATTGATCGCTGGAAACCAGGAAGACCCTGATAGGGACCAGCGAGAATTCCGATGACGTTAACCGGGTCAATCGCGGCGTTAATCAGGCGGTAAAATTGCAGCAATGCCGAGTCAGTCGACTGGAAGATTATTTTCCAGGGTTCTTGTATCTCAGCTATTGATTGGACATGTCTCCGGAGAGCTGGCACCTGATTTTGTTTTTAAGGGTCATGAACAAGTCCTGAGATTCTCCCCAGCGATCAAACACTCTGAAGTCTGATAATATTCCAAAACGCTTGAGTACATATATTTTTGTGTATGTTGACTTTAAATACGGTTTTTGTGTGTTTAAGTTGGCCGGATGCACGCGGTGCTGGATCAAGTGTTCCGTAAGCCTAAAGCCCAAGTTCTATGGACTCCCTACTATGCTTCATGTTCGGTACGACGCCAATTCACAGAGCTGAATTGTTTGGGCTGGAGCCCTGTATTTAACTTTAATGCTGCGCTTGACGAAGCTTTGCAGTAGCCAGTGTGAAGTTTTCCAAAAATCGAGCCGATGAAACGTTTTCCTGCGATGGGCGTGTGCACACTGTTGTATGTAGGTTCTCAAAGTTTTCGTAAGCCATGAGCACGTTGCCCGCAATGCCAACTGGCCTTTCATGCAAGTCAAAACTTCGATTTTGAAGCTTGAATGAATACCGTGTGGCACTCAATACGCAAGACGACTGGTCTCGAAAGACAGCCCGCTATAACATCGTTTTGCAGTTTTGAATTTTGTCCTGAGATGATTACTTTCAGAGCGAAATAGGTCTGAAAAACATCGTACATCAACCACGTCAAATTCCCAACGTTCACACAAACTTGGTTCACAGAACCAATGTTTTTTGTCGGCCAAATGTTCGCAGAGTGAAATGCAGTCGTCTTTCAGTGACCAAAAAGAAAATGTTCCACATGAGTAACAGCCATTTTGTCATCAAGCCTGTCATGTTATGATACCGCCAAGTTAGCTGGTAAAACTTGTATCCATGCTACCACAAGGCAAATAGAGGGAAGCTCCACCAAAGCATCATCAGAGGAAATGACCACTTCAAGTGGCCAGAGAGTTACAGAACGTATTGCTACTTTTCCGCGGCTACCAGTAATATGACAACGTGATTCCCGGACCATTGCACTTAGAGAGACGAGTGAAGCACGATGGAGTGGCAGCTGGTCTAACCACGGGACAAAGAATACACCGCGTTGTATTGGCACCTGTTAGCCTGGGGCTGGGTGTCCAAACATGCGCCTTAATTACTGGTATGCGTGTGACTATCACATTAATATCAAAACGACTGTCATATTATCATTAAACGAGAGAGAATCGGGACTAGGGGTTTTAAAACACCTGTTATCCTTAAGTTGGGTTATCGACTACCCACCATAAATACTATTTTGTAATGTTGGATTCTTAAACAAAGTAACAGTCAAAAATTACAGTGGTAGGCCTAACGATGGCTAAAGGATGACCAAATCATTTTGTTTGGAGTCCTTTCCCGGGCATAATTACCTGTTTAGATAATGCAGGTGGCTGCTCTCAGTCCTCACCATCACATACTTAGTGGTGAAAGTTTTAGCTGCCGATTCAATTACGATTTATAGTTGATGCATATAAAGACTTGCCAGGAAACAGACGACCGCGAATATTAATACTATGTATGGGTCCCAAGCTAGACCAAGAGAGGGCGCAATTTTCCTAGCAACGGGGGCTCCTTTGGTATTTGTATGGTATACACTATACGCATCGCTGGTTCATGAAGGCCTATGAAACGTTGCAAACGCATCGCTACCAACAAAGGTACACTCTCAACCAACATGACGCTTTTCAACCGATGAGGGAGGTGCTTCTGCTCAGGGCGGATTAAGACTCCAGATGTGATGTAAAAACTGAATTAAAAAAAAGGAAAAAGGGTCTACGTAGAGTAATCCTTTGAATGAACATGACTTTCGTGAGCTAAATGAGGGCTCTATTGAATGAATTGCATTTAAAGTTTCGGGTCAAACTTCTGACTTAAACATTTGATGAAATAAATGCAGGAAAACTGTCCCATGGATGACAAGGCGATGGAAATTAATCCGTCGTTCCGCAGACACCTTTTCTCGATGGTATTAAGAAATGTGACATTCCCTAATTTAGGAATTAATAATTATAAATATGCGTGTACATAGAAACCTATACAACATCTTTAAGCGAATTTAAAGAAAAGTTCTTCAAAGGCCGAGAGCTAACTTTTAGTACAAACTTTGAACTCACATTGTGGCTTCAAAGTGACTTGTGTCATTTTCTTTGATATTTAAACGAAACCCCCGGAAGAAAAAAAACAAAAACAATCAACCGCTTAGTAAGATTTTAACTGAAGATTCCATACCATTATAACCAACGAAATTCATACTAAGTGCAAACCTTTACTGTGTAAAGTGCACGACACCTTTCGGTGATAGCCAGAGCTGTTGAGCAAGCATTTGTTACGGGCGTAGTTGCCACCGAGCGAGCGTTGCCCTTCAGGCATACCGAGCCATCGATACTAAGACCGGGTCCCGAGAACTAAACACTACTAGCAAAATGAATTCAAGCCTTGATAGTCCGAAGCATATGTTTCTCCCGGCAAATTGGTTTCCCTCCTTCTTTTCTCTTCTCGTCGTTCCAATCAATAACAGAATTCAAAGTCGGTGCGTGGGGTGACCGTCCACGTCGATGGCGTCACGGCTGACGACATTGGGTGGGAAACGGATGGGGGCGTTTTGAAGGGGGTCAGCTGTCATGAATAATATCGAGAAAACTTTTCTTAGTCGATGGGTATTGGCATCTTTGCGTTTTTCAGTGACCGCTCAAGCCAACTACGATTTTTTTCTGGTTTTGAGTCCTCCCGGGAAAATATTGGCAATTGATTGAACGCGCAATTCTCAACGTCAATTAAAAACTCTTAGTAGACCTATCTGAGTTAAATGTGCTCCCATCTATTCACGATCAATTTTAATCAAATAGGCCTGCAAACTTGTCAAAGTGAATCTTGAGGTAAAAACTTGGAAGACTTTTTTTATACATACGTCAGTATCATCTGTGCCGTCCGCGGAGTTCTCGTGGAATCTTTACAACGCACTGCTGTCTAAATTCAATTAAACTTTATTTTATTTTTACAGCATGCTCAATGTTAAATACAACTGTCGCTGCACTTGTGTCTTCTACAAGCTGCGAGACGAGCCTAGCTCTCCAGTCGCTGGCGAATTCTTTCGATGTGCCCCACATTATTGTGCCCGGCGAGGAATGCCTCTCGGAAAAGCATAACAGTTTTACGGTTAACGTGCGACCAAGTCAAGTCTACCTGAGCGAAGCGGTTCTGGACTTGGTATGGTGGCTGAAATGGAAGAGTGTCTCTATGTTCTACGATTCAGAGAGCGGTAAACCATTTCATGTTTGTCTTTATGTCTTTCCTTCTGTTTTTTTATCCAATTAACCCAGCTTAAAAAAATTCTCCCTTATAATTATTTCTGATACGAGGTTGACTCAAATGCTGAAACCGTCAGTGCGGATCGGATGGCATCTGTAGAAAAAGTATACAAACCAAACCGGAACTAGTTGATACAACGCACACAGACAAGAGGTGATAAAATGTTTTGAGGAGGGTACCAAGTAGATTTGGTTTAGTCATGGTCAGTGATTCTGCAGCATTTCAGTAATTTACCGGTCAACAGCACTGTGTGAGAATTACGCCTTTTGCGCGCTAATCGTAATGTAGGCCTAGCTAGTTAAACATTCACCAGTATAAGCACATGTCGACGGTGACATTTTAAATGAATTTCATCGATCTTGAGTGTTACACTGTTACTCTTTGTCAGGTTCAAAGCTTAGCTCAGACACAAGGTAGGAACCTCTCGGAACAAATAGAGGCATTGTGCCAGAACATGAATAACATTCGATTTACGGTTCAGCCTCATATTTGTGAAAGCTTTTACTGAAAATTAGTTGCCTCAACCTTACCTCAACCTTAAGCCCGGGAGAAGGTAGGTTTGCACCAGAAGTCTATACGTATCTATAGGCCCCATCATTTCCAATTCAAACCTCACCGAGACAATCAGAACACCATTAAATCCTTCTCGCCTCACGCAAAGTTCAATTTCCGTTCGGCGTATCCTACATGCCCGTCACCCGCTTTTACCGATATTAACCAGTTCTCTCCAGTGGTGTTCGAATCACGCTAATGTTCAATTTCGTGACCTCATTTTCCCCCACCAGCCTATAAGAACGTGCAGCAGTTCCTGCATCTGGCGGCGCAATCGGAGGAGCGCAAGCCGCTGGAGGTGACGCTGTACCGGGTGGACGATAGGGACCCGGCCAGCGGCGCGCTTGGGATGATTAACATCTTGCACAAAGCTAAGGATTCGGACGTCCAACACATGATCACCTTCTGCGACAGAGCCCAGAGCATGAGGCTGATTAGACAGGTAAGAGTGTGCGGGCGGATGATTGATTGCCTCGGGTTTTGGTAGGTCTGTAGCGAATAGGGGTGGGGCCAGTGATGGCTGGGGCAGATCAGTGGGTGGGACTGATGGTGGGTGGGCAGAAATATACAGACGGCATGGTTTGTCCAATCAGAGTTATGATTGTGTAGCCAAAATGAGGAGGGGTCCCTCATCCCACTTCGGAGGGAATTCGGAAGGCATAACGAAATATCACCTTCCACTCAACTAACCTCCACGAATATGTGAACTTATGACTCGACCAATTTTTCTTTTTTTTTGGTTGGCGATTAAATGACATTTGTGATCAAATGGTCCGAAAAGACATTTGGTAAAATATGGAGACCCATTTTTGGCCAAACTTTGTCGAGTGCAATGATCTAATATAGGAAGTAAGAGGTTTGAAAAATCTTCGTTAGAAGGTAAGCTCTTGGCATGAATATCAGCGCGACGTTAGGGAAGCTGCGTGGATTGGGGCACCACCCCCTTCATTTCCCATTTTGCTAGTGTACATACAAAAACTGAAGACACCAAATTCACCTGTGACCAAGCCTCTCTGCCATAGTCCTGCGTTTTTCACCAGTGTGTTACCCAAAAGATGTACGATATCTAGGCCTATACTCGAAAAGTCCATCATCTCCATCCAGGCAGTGAGTGGATATCATACCAAGTTGGTGCATATTATGTCATCCTTATTCGGTGACAAAATACCGTACAGATTTACAAAACTGGTGTTTTACCAACCAAACAGGGTTCCTGGCGTCCAGATTCCATTAGATTACTTTTCAAAGCAGGAAACATGAACCATGTTTGTTTTGTGTGTACAGGCTGCACGTTTTGGGATGGCCGTGGGGAAATACCAATGGATTATTACAACACAGGTAAGAAAAACAGTACGGGTGTTTCGCAATAGTGCGCCACCAAGAGTTTGCAACGCGTTGGCCGATCACAATGCGCGAAATGTGTCGACCTAGTGAGCATTTTGGGAAGGGTTGACAGATTCCACGCGTTGTGATTGACCAATGCGTTACGAACTCTTGGGGGTGCACTATTATGAAACGCCTGTATTAGGGAAAAGGTTAACCACTAATCAGTATTTGTGCGGAACAACTATCACCGTGCTGAATGCATTTTTGTGGATATGGGTCATTCCACGAAGTTCGGGCACAGTTTGTGACGGCGTCCCATGTTACTTCAATGAAAATAAGCATTTTTTTCCCTGCATGTGGATTTTAGATTGACATTGTTCTAAATCTTTCTAGGTTCTTGTTGTGGTGTGCTTCATCTTTGCTGAATATTATGACTTTTAATCTGTTGTAATGTGAAAATAAAGGGCGATAAAAGTTACCGATGTCACAAGGGACGCCGTCACAAACTGTGCCCGAACTTCATGGAATGACCCATATGGATTCTGGAGTCCGTAATGTTGTCTCTAATAATTGGGGTAAATGTACCTATACGTTTTATACGTTTAGTTTGTCAATCGCAGTTAGCACACAAATTGGTTCGTTTAGATCTGCATTTTGTATCGAAATTTGACTATGTGATTAGGTCTTTTCCTTTTGTTTTTGTTAGTCACAGTTTATTTCCATTGTCTGGGGCATTGTTGGGGCTCCGTGATAAATGTTAAGGTCCTAAAGTCCGACTGATCCTTATTTTTTGGCTCCGAATGAGAAAAAAAAGTATGCTGTCTCGCATTTCCTATCAAGAAAAAAGCAGTAGTTTTACCCGTTTTTTTCTCCTCGACGGGCCGACATTTCCTGAAGTAAAATATTAGAACCAAAGAATTAACAACAACCACCCTTAGCAACGACCTCACGTTAAACGCGGTACATGCGTTCTCGAGAGACAGAAGTGTTTGCTACATTTTCTATGCTCCAGGTTTTAATCATGAAACCTTTGCCGAAACTCTCTCCCCCGATATTTGTCGTACTGATTCAAGCGAAAATTCGGCACCCTTTGCTAATGTTACTGCGCTGTGATGCCCTACAACGCTCTGCGCAGTCAGGCCCGGGTCGCTTTGTGGGGAAAGGGGGCGGGAAATGCTTTTCCTGCAAAACACTACCGGTCGACCTAATTCCGTAGGGGGAGATGTGCACATTGTGGAGTGACCGTGTATTGTAACAGCCCACGTCTTCTTGTTTTCCATGCATGTACAATGCTCTGTTGCATTGATGTATGTCGGGTTACAGAGTGGAATGATGTTTGTTTCATTGTGTTGAGCATTTGTTTGCTCTGAGGATTCCAACCATGTCGTTGGTGAAGCAGGAAGCTGTGCTGAGTGCGTCTAGAATGTTTCCTGTGCATCTACTCAAGAGTCAAATGGAAATAGTTGGTGCTTGCATATTTGTCTGATTTTGTGCACCTAATTTTGATGCGTATGTGTTTAAGGAACACAATCTAAATGTGCATTATTTATACGTTATGCACTCAGGCAAGTCTTGACTCTCCTTACTTTCAATTTTCTTCTTTTCTTTTTTTAAAAAATGTTTCTGCTTACATAATAACACCACATCTTCCGAGGTCGGTTCTCTATTGGTTATGCTTTCTGTCCTTCTGGGTTGTATTGACACCCTCATGAAGAAGGTCAGATTTAAATTTTCTGGAGGTAACGAAAACAAAAATGATGACACAACTGGGTGTAGGCTAATTGGATGGTGGAATTACGTCTGCTTGTGTTTCTCTAACTCGTCGCTCACTTTCGTTCCTTCAGATTAATCTTTGAACGGTTCACGTCACTGTGACGCACGAAAAGTGTTCCACATAAACCCACAAAGAAACCATTTCCCCATCGTTATCGGCACGATTTATATGATAAATTGGCGATAAACTTTTCAAATCATAGGCTGTCGCTAGGGTAACTTCCTTTAAATTTATAATACTTAAAGCTGATAAAAATTCTCGCTCCTTGCCTGTGCTATCGCATAAGGAATAGCTGAAAAATGGAAGAAAAAAACTCTGATCAATTGCACTATTTCCTTTGGTCTTAAAAATGCACCTTCCGGCATCCAATGCATTGCGCAGTGATGAACGTTGAACCGAGGTAAACTTTGACGGCTTTATGTAGCGATATTGTCTGCGTCCTGTTAGGGTACATCGTCATTTTGATTTGCTGATTGGACGCATAAGAGCATAGGGAAAACAGATAACACAATATCTACACGGTTGATTATCAATAGTCAATGTATGAACACGAAATCTTCCAACAAGAACGCCTCCGGCCTGTGTACGTACGAAGGCCATGAATAAACGCCGGACATTTTCGCCTGAACGTGCAATGTATAGTCATTTCGTCATGCGGAATAATTGGAGAAGAAGAATTAATAATCATAATAATAATTAAAAGAGCACTGGCCGTGTGGCGTACAGGTGAACAATTACCCTCGGCATTCGTGAAAGCAGGAGTTCGTCGATGAATTTTATTTTTTTTCCATTTCCGGGTGTATTTCACAGTGGCGTAAATTTGTGCCGGAAATTTATGGGGGGGGGAGGGGCTAACACCATGTGATGGTGGGGATGATGTTGATGATACAGATATACGTGTGCAATATGGATTACAGAATCTTACATCAGAATGGCACATTTTATGGCTTTTTTGTTGTTTTCCCTTTCTGAGTTATATTGAATAAATTTTGGTTGTTTGGAAGTCCAAAAAATTCTTCAGTATACACTTTAAATTTGTTCTCACCACGGAAAAGGGATTTTGCACACCTCCGGTCAAAAAAGTAGGGGGATACATACCCCCATCCCCCAAAATTTACGCCCAGGCTTGCTTAAATAAAATCGATAAAACCTCCATCCTTAAGTAATTTTAGCATGATGAATTACAATATAGTATTAGCAGTTTTGCCAGGTTTTTGATGATAAATCTTGGTTTTATCATGCATGTCACGTGAGAGCTAAAGCTTAACGTCGACCGATTTCAGCTTGATCACTCTCTTGAAAATGCATTCGTACTTATTTAGGCTCTATATCGAGAAACAAAAATATCAAGGAAGGTAAATGGGAATGAGAGAAACTAAATTTTGTTCTTAATAATTTGGCATTATGTATTGAGCTCAGTTGATATTGCAGGGATCAGTGAATGGTGATTATGGAATACCATGGACGTGTACACTTTAGCCGGGTTCGTTTTCCCCGATTCCACTCATTTTTCGTGGATTTCCTCCTTCACTTTTCACAGAGGGACACAATTATCGTTAACAACAGCTGTTGCCGGTTTGTCCTCCATTTTCCCAGTCTTACCCTCAACACACCTCTCACACATTTCTCCCGTCTCAATAGCCTTTCCCCCGTATCAGGTGTTGCTTTGAGGTCACCAAGGTAACTGCTTTCAATCATAGAAACAAACTGTCGCCATAATAACAGTTTTCCACGCGGTGTTTTTGATACTTTGCTCGGTGTTTCTACAGGACTGGGACATGATGGGAGATGGCGAGCCGGGGAGCTTCACGACGGCTGGCGGGGTAAGGCTTACATGTTCTGTGGTGATTGATGTGTCCGATAAAAATTGGGACCAACTGATGGCATGATGCCCTCTCTGGGAGGTTGCCTGGCAACGAGGCTACGTTCATTTTTGTCTGGTCCCCTGACATATAGGCAATGACATGTAGCGCTAATTTCTGGGTATTGTCGATGCACGAAACTCAAAATTTCCTCAGTAAGCTCCACTACTGAACATTACATAAAGACATTTCAAAGCTTACTGGGCACGCAGAAATTGTCATTCCAATAACCTCTCTTAAAAGTCACACTGCGGCTGAATTCTAAGTGCCATTTGAAGACTGTTTACCAGATCAAATGGGGGCTATCAAACTAATACAAAGAAAACACAGCATGATATAGGCCTAAAGATGTTAAAAGTATATATTTTATACGACGTGACATTACATGAAATTACATGAAATTACAGGACATCTCTGAGGAAGAGGGCATGAGATTCCTCAATGGCTCCGAGGGCATCATCACCTTGATGAAGCAACAGGTCAAAGTTCAGACCCACCCTCTGCAGTTCTACAGCGCCTGGCAGATGCTCTACCCGGACATCGACAGGGAAGAGGACGCTAACTCCACTTACTTGTCGCCGGGGTATCTCAACACGATCCAGGTAAGCATCCAGATTTGCTCACCAAAACTTGGGTTGAATTAAGCCTTGCCGGTTTTAACAGACCTTGCCTGAGAATGTAAGAGGAAGCATGTAAATTCAGATAAATTTTCATCTTTCCTCTTAAAATTATGAAGTGTAATACTCAAAGGCAACGTCCAGCCATATTCGTAACATAAAGCAAACTGTTAACATGAATTTTTCACAGGGTTCCAATTCTGATCATTCGGGGTTTGATAATCGAAAGGAAAAACCATCGAAACATATGTCTCTGTATATACTCTGTTATAGCAAAACATGTAACACGGTGTTTCGAATAGAGAAACGGCAAGTCTATTCCAAAGAATGAACGTCTCCCAATGCGTATGATTTTACTGGGAGTGCCAGATTTATAGTAAGAAGTTAACAATCACACATGAGCTTTCCTAGAAAAGATTTCCGGAAAAACAATACTGAATTGGGATTTACATGAAATCCCGGAAGGTTTGTCACAGCATACGGTTAGATCGTGACAAGTTTTAATTCCAACCTCTGCATTCGTATAGTCATATAATACTTGAGACAAACGTTTATTCAACTTCTTCATACAACTTCATTCAACTTCTTCTGATCTAAAAATTGTCACTTTTTTGTTAAGGAAGCCTTCCACTTCAGGCAAGGGGATTTTGATATGGGCCTGAATCAATGTTAGAATTCAACATATTACTTGGACTTTTGCTGACGAAATTTCCCTTTCCTAAAGAGTATGTTGTGTCTGTAAGACTGCTCTATAGGCACCTCGATGTGTTCCGACTAAGTCTGTGAATTACCTTTAAAGATACAAGACTAACATTTTCCCAGTTTTTATCCCCTGACATCACAGTTCAAAGCAGCCTATATGTACGACGCCGTACGAGTATTGGCAGTTGCCTTGAACGAACAGGTTGAGCGAGACAAGTACATTGAACCCGAGATACAGCATTGCTATGACAACAAACCCAAATCATGGAAAGGGGGCATTCGCCTCCGGAAGATGCTGCACAGGGTAATCAATCCTGCTTACTGATTATTGATTATCAGCTATTGGTTATTGACCAATTATTCCTTTGTGAAAATTCACATGGCAAAGACATGAAAACGTGAACGAGTGCGATCATTTTATTGTTTTTTTAAGAATTTCATCGAAGAGAACTTATGTGAAATAGAGCAAAATAAGATCGATTTTTAGAAACGTTTTGCGAATCACAAAATATTAGTCAACACCTTTGATACTGTGGTTCTTAAATTTACTAGTGGTAAACAGTTAAAACGTATTCGTCATTTTTAATGACCGTGGAGTATTATAATTAAAGCAAGAGCTGCGTGGCTGACAAGGATTTTTTTGTTTTGGGGATAGACGGAAACAACTGGGCTGATGGGACGGATGCGGTTTAATCACAGTAGTCTGAATGATGAGATAGCGGTGGATGTCATTACCTTAGAAAGTGGCCGTAACCAGACCAAGGCATGGAAGGTAAAAACATGCGTCTTGTTTATTTGTACCCCTTTATCTAGTCCTCTTTCAAACCTTGACGGCTTCGATAAAAACGTAATTTCGTTTGATGCCTCTTCACGTTTTTCAGGTGGTCAAAACTTGGTCGAAAATTTCTAAGGAAACCTTACCGATTTATTTCAGAAGATTTGGTAGGCAAAACAGGTCTCCAAAAAGTTGGGCCTGCGCAAATTGTTTGAAATGGTTCCTTGTTGAAAGTTTCCAGTTGAAGAAATTATTGCAATTTAAATCAATTTCACTTCACCTTTTAAAGATTACAACATTTGATACAACTTAATTCAGATTAGATAAATGATTTGCCTAGGTTATACTTACGTAGTAATGTGTCAGAAAATATGTAATTATATACTTTTCGTTTACAGATTGGCGGCTGGGATCCGGAAAATCGTCTAAATTTGGTCAAAACACCCTTTTCAAGAGGTTTTGCTGCTTTTATCAGTAACAACACCACATTTCGCATTGTAACCGTTGTGGTAAGCACATAGCAAATGACCCCACGATTGAAAAGGTTCTTTTCCAAATGTTTTGTCTTTAACCGAAGAATTTGGGTGATAAAATATAAAAAAAGAACAAATCTTCTATTTGCATTTTTTTACATATCGTCCGATCAAACAATGTCAGTAATATTAACTGTCATTAATGTGGAAAATTTCTGCAGGAGGCGCCGTTCGTTAATCGGGACGAGACAGTGAATGGGTACAAGTACTCGGGGTTTTGCATCGACATGTTAGAACTAATCGCCAAGGAGTTGAACCTGAAGTATGAGTTGTACCTTGTACCAGATGGAAACTACGGAGGAAAGAACGACGACGGGACGTGGAATGGCCTGATTGGGGAAGTTTATTATGGTGTAAGCGAACCAACATGGATTGAAAGCACAGTCTGTAGAATTCAACTGGTTCCTGTCCTGTACATATTCTCCAGACATTAATGATTTATCGACGATATCATTGAAAAAGAAATTACCACACTATGATCACCAGACTGACCAGAGGTTTGGCAAGGATAGGTACTTGTGTTTTACTCGCCTCCCCGTCGGTTGAAACGTAATTTATGTTAAAGTATTGCTACTGTTGGCCTGACGAAAACTTAAATAATCAGCACCCAAACTGACAGGGCTAATCGCACTCGTTAAACCGCAGCTGGCTACCGGTCCCTATACATGTATAATAGGGACGAGGACCAGTCCATCCGTAGAATATACTAGCGTGATCACATAAGAGTCTATAGTCGTCCTAGGGCAGATTCAGGACCATTTTATTCGAAGGGGATCGTTGGGGAGGGCAAAAATTTTGGAAAGTTTTTATATAACCTTTTATTGTCTTTGTGAGGGTTGAGGCTACATTTTGGTCTATTACAAGCTGTGAAAAGAAGGAAAATAGACCAATGTGCTCCTATGGGGGATGGCTCCGTTGCCCCCAATTAGCAATTTTATGCCGGTCCATTCCCGGCACAGTGAGAGGAAACGGGAACGCGAATTGGTGACGTCAATTAAAAAATCGATTTTGCGTACGTTCCCACTTTTAATTGTTTACCTCGTGATCTTGTCACTTGGCCAATGTAGGGCCAGTTCCTACTAAGCTGGATCGAGACTTTGTGACGTCAATTACTGCACCTGCTGCAACGCTAAAATTCGCTTCAATGTGAAGTCATTTTCTCATCTCATTTATACTCACCTGGATTATAAACATTCGGTCACAATAATGAAGAGGAAAACCAGAAACATATTGTGGCAGTAACTCCAATGTAGTCGGTGACACCGAGACAATACAGATCCCTATGCACTCGTTAAACACCCATGTGCATTTTCAAGTAAAGGCAAACGCTTTCGCAAATGCGACTACACGAAACATTACCGGCGAACCTGACCCACACAGAAAATCTCTTCGCACATTCGTGGTGCAAATGTTTTTTTTTCATAACACCACAGGTTTGTGTTCAGAGTTTGCTTTAGACCTTTCCCTAATGTTTACCTGCTCTAAAAGGCTTATTAAACTTATGGAGGGATGCGTCGCTTTGCATCTTGCCACATATTCTATGCGTTGGTTTACATTCAGTTGGTACATGTGCATAGATCACAGTGCTTGAGCATCAGAGCTTCCTATTACCTTTTATACATCGCCAATTTGGGTAAAGGAAATCAAATTTATGCATAAGCAGTGTTTTGCAAGAGGGCAAATTGAGAAAGTTCACTGTTTTTCATAATATAAAAAAAATATAAAAATGTGTCCCGTGAGGTTGGATTGCATGAAAGGCTATTTGGTATCTGATTTTTCGGAAACCATTTCAGTTGGTCCCGGATATTACGTAGTAAGGATATCACACTGTATGTTCGTATTTATTAACTTACATAAACATGTTGCATCCACCTCCGGGTATGGGAATCCCGGATCCACCTCAGGTTTTTATCTTTCAAAAAGTCCATTTTTCTTTATTTCCGTGGTGCGCAAGAGGGCGGACCTAGCGGTGGCCGGCATGGTCATCAACTCCGACCGCGAGGAAGTGGTGGACTTCACCAAGCCCTTCATGAACTACGGCGTTGGGATCCTCATGCAAAAGCCCAAGAAGAAGGCCAACATCTTCGCCTTCCTGGAGCCGCTCCACATCAAGGTCTGGGGCTGCGTGCTGGCCTCCCTCTTCGTGGTCGGGGTGCTGATCTACATCGTGGACCGGCTCAGCCCTTACAGCAGTTTCCGGCGGGAGAACAGTCCCAACCCGGAAGCCTTCGACTTGAAGAACAGCATGTGGTTTGCCTTCGCTTCCTGCATGCAACAGGGTATAATAATCAGCCGTAACACTCTCCCCACTGAATTCGTTTGATCTCGGAAAATGTTCATGATTGATGTACCGATCTTGAATGTCTCGACTTTGGCTTGGGCTCTAAGCCATCCACCGTTGCCATCCCATCAATGGCAAATAATGGTCTCTCCTGGTTTTGATGTTAGCCGCATCTCTGTTTCTGTTCCAAATGGCATGTGTTACTATTATTACAAATTACTATTGATGAATAGAAAGGGCGAATTGCTGTATAAATATATAAAAAGGTCAATGTTTCCTTAGAGTTTCGGTATCAACCCAGCACGTCCACTTCAGTTGCTATGTAGGTCTGCTAACATGAAGGGAAGCCCCAATTTCAAATTACTACTGTTTTAAAAAGCTAACAATCAGTAGACCAATTCCAGTCATGTGGGACGGGAATTTTGATGCGAAGTGTATGTATAATTCGAAATTATTTTACAGCATAGTGCAGGTGTCTGATGTAGTCGCAATTATATGCGTCTACAGCAGTGGGCGTCGCTGGGGGGGGGCGGTGCAAGGAGCGCTTCAAGCCCCACCCCTCCAAAAAAATAAGGGGGGGGGGATCACAAGAAAAGAAAAAAATGACAACAGTTAATTGAAATCATCAGTTTGCTTTTAAATTACCCCTTTCCACTGTTAGTGGTTTTGCAGTTTGCTGTTATTGGGTGTTTCCCAGAAAACCCCATGGCAACACCCATGACTTCAGTTTCGTGACATCTTTCAAATGTACAGTATTCATGACATAACCAGCGCACTTGCGTGAGTACTAAATCATTATAAAAATGTCAGTTTCGTTGTACAAGGGTATTTAGGGCTGGTCATCTGTTGTTTCTAACCACTCAGTGGCTTGAGTTTTTAATAGATTGATATTGTTAATATTTACGTTCTTAGCAGTTTATTGGTGTTTTTGAACTTAGCAGTTTAAAGTTAATAAACGCAAACAAATAACTCGATTTCACGCAGGCGGCGACACCTCCCCGCTGTCCATTTCTGGTCGTGTCCTGAGCGCGTTCTGGTGGTTCTTCGCCCTCATCATCACCGCTACGTACACCGCCAACCTGGCCGCCTTCCTGACCGTCACCCGCATGGAGAACCCCATCAACTCTCTAGAGGATTTGGCCACGCAGAAAACCGTGGTCTACGGCACCATCCTTAACAGCAGCCTGCATGACTTCTTCGAGAAGCGAAAGAATCAGGGTATCTACGAAAAGATGTGGAACTTCATGTCCACCTCCAAGATCGACCCCTGGGTGCCCAACGCCGAGGCGGGGTACAAGCGCGTCCAGACAGAGGACTACGCCTTCTTTTGGGACGCGCCGATCCTAGACTACATCAAGCAGGAGGAGTGTGACGTCATGACTGTGGGCAAGCCCTTCAACCTGAAGGGATACGGCATTGCTACGCCGCGGGGGGTTCCATGGAGAGACGAGATATCAATGGTGTAAGCTACAAGACACAACTTTGATGATTTCACAATTGTAGAAGTTACACTTTCCTGGTCGGCATGTCGATTTGATTTCCAGTTCATACCTAAGGCGATGGGTTTCCTGCAACTTATACAAACCTAAACATTTCGTCCTTTGCCTTCTCTCTGTTGGTTTCTTTGGATCTAATGACTACAGTGCCTGTGGCATTTTCGTAAATCCTTGGTTTCATGACCGTAAAAACGAAACAAACAAATGAAAACAACTCTCCAACCTTTATTCCTAACTGTCTAAATATCTTGAGTGTAATTGTCATCCATTCTCTTGGCAGAATCTTAAAAATGCAAGAGAGGGGCGAACTAGAAGAACTCCGTAAGAAGTGGTTCGACCGGGAATCCAGCTGCCTGGATGAGACGGACAGCATGAATACGAAACATCGCGCCGCCCGGGCCGACATCAACCTGGACCAGATTGCCGGCGCCTTCTACGTCCTGATCATTGGGGCCGTGTTGTCCTTTGTGGTGGTCATTGTGGAGCACGTTTGGCACAAGCCGTCCTTCTACAAGAAGCGGGAAAAGGAGACGGGAAGGACCACATTGGTGAGTATCGAAAACAGTTTTCAGGCCTGTTGTCTATTTTGGGGTGCATCTTTCTACGGTTCGCTGAAGAACCAAGACTGCTTTTGCAACGTAAAATGGGAAATAATGCATTAGGTTGGAATTGGCGTTATGAAGCAGTATCAAGTGTTGATAAGGACATTGGGCAGATGTCAGTAGAGCAGATATCAGTTAGTTGCTGTTGTCCCAGAGCGAGATATGTTATCACAATATTATTTATTAAGCTTTTTTGCTAGAGTTTTTTACTGTTTCATCCAAAAGGCAGTTTATGTTCGATTTCATGAAGTCAGGAACAAAATTTTATTTTCTTCTTTTTTCTTTTCTTTTTATTTATCATCATCAGGACTGGTCAGACAAACTCCCTCCACGGGAAACGAGAAACAATGGTCTTTCTAACATTGAAAATTGTTCTTCCAATAAGGTAGGCTTGAAGTAGAATTTATTTTTTAAATAAAAGCAGCAGTTATTCTTTCGGTGTACTCCCCCCCCCACTGATTAAGGTTACCGCATTCATAGAAATATTCAAACTTGTCCATTTGCAGCATTTAGTTGTTCAAGAGAATGACTCTTTTGCGTTAACACCTTTGAGACCAAACCCATGGAGCACAACGACAAGTAAGTAGGCCTACACTTATCAATTAATAAATTTTTTTCCACTGCAAGTTGTTTTTACCTATACTCTTTATTTCTAGCCTTCCTTACTCCATCTCTCCCTGCTTCTATTTGTCTTTAACACCTTTGACTTTCTTAGTGTGTGATTCGATTCTCACCATTCGGCCCTTGGGATACACAGATGTTTACTTTGGGCACTGTAATGACTGGATTTTCAGTTATGACCTGCAGTGGGTTCCTCAGTATGATAGCCTTTGTTTCTCATCCAGTTAGGAAGAGAAAACCAAGACATGCAGCCCATTGTTTTTATTTATTATTTTTTTGTTTTGCCCTGTTCCTGAAAGATGACATTGTTAAAATGCTGACTTGACAAGTCTGGATTAACTACAGTAGTTAAAAATGACACCTACAGCTTAGGTTCTCTAAGTGCTCTGTAGCTTTGAAAATTAAAATTTTGTTTTTGACTCAAATGATTAGGTTGTCAGTTATAAAGTCAATTAAGTTACTGACCCAAAAATATCGTTTTGAAAGCTAGAATGCTGCTATTCATATTAAAAAAATTGTTTACCCCCATCTATATGGTCTTTCCTAATTTTCCCACTTTCCTTGAATTTGTTGGCACAACAGAATTGAACTCGTATCCATGAACCAAATACAAGTCAGTTAAAAAATATCCTTGCTTACAGCTAAGGCCTGCTTCCACTGTTGTTTGAGTTTCACTTTCCTTTTCTGTTCTTTCTCAGCAATCTAATACAGCTTTCTCTGTTGCTGGAGGCAAAATTAATGCAGAATGCATTTGTAAAAGAATGAAAAAATTCCAAAACGACAGACTTTTTCTGATATCTTTAGTGATAACAAACTGGGATATTTTCTTAACCGACTTTGTCTGTGCCTTCGTTTCCTAATAGTTCTTTCTGTCCCCCCTGAAGCGACAGAAAACTCTTGCTAGTGCCCGGGCGGAAAAAATCAGGAGAAACATGGAAATGGCAAGGAATCATACCAGAAATGGTGTGGTACTGCATGGAACAGCATGGAAAAACTTGGAATGGGCTGAATCAGCAAGCTGATAACTGAAGACAGGACAGGAGGTGGAAATCCAAACTTTGAGGTGTTTCTAGTAGTTTGTAAAATCCTGGCCTTTTCGAGGGAGACTTGGCAGCAAATGGAAGCTTTCAATGGAAAAGCATGCCTGGCAAGAGTGCAAAAAGTTCTAAGTCAAGTTTTAAATCAAGTGGAAGTTGAATATGAACAGCTATCGGAATTATTGCAATGAGTCCTGGACTTTTTGCCGACACCACAGGATCTAAAGAACAAAGACAATGTTTACTAGATTAATTTTTGAGATAAACGAAGTACTCTACTTAAAACACCAGCAGCGATGATGTGTGGGTAAATTTATTGTAGAGAATGGTTTGTATGAGGAATAATTTCAAAAATTGCTTTTAGTGTTTTCCATAACGGAATACATTATCACATCCGTAGATGAAATCTGTAAGTTATCAATTGTTATATCCACTGATGAAATCTGTCTGTTATCAATTTCTGAAAACTCCGGTCCTGCTAGTGTCATTTGAAAGTTGGAATGCTTGGACCAAGTTAGATGGTACCCATCGATGGGTAGAGCTGTGGATCTGTATCCTTCATTAAAAGTATGTCAAGACAGCGTGCAAACTATGACCCGGACATCAGGTCACGAAGCCACAGCTTGATATTGAAGGTGAGACTGAATTTTGAAGAAGTTTGCAAAAAAAGTCTTTTGGGTCAAATGGTAGTAGAAATACAAGGTTTTTAATGACTCAGTATGTTTACCAGAGAAAACGATTGAAATAGATTAGTGCTGCATTATTCCTGGCTGAATTTTGCTTATCAAATATGCCTATCAACATTTTTTGCTAAGAAACAAAAAGGGGGCCAATTGTCAGGACAGTCAGTGGAGAAAAGTTAACACAAACGATATTGGGAATGATTTTAGATTTTATAAAAGTGTGAAGTTTATTTTCTTTTTTGATATGTTTTATCCCAGTAGTAAAGCTTGACGAACATTTTTAAATAAGTAAGCCGTGCTCAACAAATGAAACAATCTCTGTAAACAAATTAATAAGGATTACAAGTTATCTAAACTCTTAACACTCCAAAGGCTGGTGTAATCTAAAACCTTTGATGGGTTTTGGTGGATCCAGTAAGGACAGACCTGGTTGTATGACTTTACATGGGTCTTGATGTCCACAATTGGTATTATGTGGGTGACACAGGTGGCTAATGCACGAAGCACTTGCCTATCACCACGGTGGCCTCGGTTCGATTCCCAGCACGGCCATATGTGAGTAGATTTGCTCGATGGTTTCCCCTGTGCAAGGAGGATTTTTCTTAGGGTTCTCCAATATACCTCTCTCCCCGAAAATCAACATTTGTGATCTGTGGTTGTGCTCCGGTCAGATATGGGTCATTTGGCAGCTGCCTAAGGTACCTCGACATGCCTTCGGCTCAACCAACTCACTGTAACTGCGTCCTTCATTAATATGCGACTGCACGGATTAGCCCCAGTAAGTGAATACAACATTAAATGGTGTACTTTTCCATTATTGTAAAAACTGAATTTGGGCAATATCCTCGAAAAAAAGCTTAGAGGGTTACGGTTTACCATTGAATTGCTGTATTAAAGTATTCAAGGGCTTAGAAATTACGTAACGTTAGGGAAGGTATTTACGTAATATTAATTTCACAAGAGCCAGTTTTGATACAGATGTAAAAAGAAGTTAAGAGTAAATGCATAGAAACGTGCTGGGCATGCTATGAACAATATTTATATCGATAATGTATTTACCAATATGGATTTATGTTGATGTAAATAGAGATCAATTGAAATGCGAAGGATTATTTTTCTTGGTTTGACGTCTTCTCATGTTTAGTGGAGGTGCTGTTTCGTAAGTTTAAAAAAATGCATTATACTTATCAAATTACTTAAGAATCAGATCTAATTTCAGAATCTTATCAGACAAAGTGTGGATTGGTTGGATGACGAAAAATAATTTTAAAAATAATTGGATTTAACTGTCAGCAAACGGTAATAGCTGGGAATTCAGAGGAGTTACCTCCCAAATATTTTGATGTTGACCTTGAAAAGGACACAAAACTAACCTTAATACAAAAAAAAAGCAAAAACATACCTTACCCCTGTAGATTTGTAAACAGTCTGTAATGTCTACCTGTGCTGTCTATGATGATGTAATTAAATGATAAGATTATTTATCACTAATTACACTGCTGTGTGAATTACTGTTTCTTATGAACTGCGTGGAAATGGTGGAATTCTAGATCTGTGTTTTGTTGAACGATGACAAAACAACCACCCCAATACAGAATGACATAGTATGAGAATTTTTAAAATTTAAAAAATGTAGTATATGAAAACAATTTCAATATATGCACACAAATTTCATACAATTAATATATTTTTTTCATACCAAAGCCCAACCACTGCTGTCAGCGTATTACTGTACATTTCTGGAGAAAATTGAATCACTTCCCAAATGAAAAAACAGATTCAAATACTTGTAGGGCAAACAACCAGTCACCCTAGCAGTCCCAAATCCTCCGATTTCAATATGATTTTACATACACCCTAGGGGTTAAACCCAAGAAAGAAAGTAGTATAAATCCGATTGTGAAATTAGAAATTTAGAAATTAGACATTTTAAATGCTCTAAAAGTGTTTGTGCAACAAAGGGATTATCCCTGACTGTAAATCTATAGAAGGGGATTATGGCTTGAGAGATTGGAAAAAAAAAGCTTTCATGTAAATATAGGATAATACAATGTACAAGCATAAACACATCATGTCAGGTTCTAGTGTGTGCTTTATGTTCAAAAAATTTTAGGAAAAGGCGGTCCAGTCAAAGGACATCTACAACAAAAGAATTCGCCACCCAAATTGGCTGATCAGGCAAATGTTACTCAATGGATTCTACAGTCTGGAACGCACACAAGGGTGAATGTTTTCAAAGGAAATCAGACGGCAGAGGTTTTGCCTATCTGAATTCCTCATAATGCATTATTGACCCAAGAGCCCAAGTATTTCACCTGGGAGGAACAACTCCAATGCTTGTGAGGTAGGGTTCGCACCCATGACCAAACGGTTGTCAGTTCATGCCTCTCCACTGGTGAACACATCAGTGATAAACTAAAGTTATCTCTTGCCCTCCTGGAGAATTTTTCGGGCTAATCGGTTACATATGCAAATACCCTCCATACAAAGGGCTTTATCAGCAAAATACCGAATGGAGTGAATTGGAAAGTGTCATTTGCGAATCAAAGACTTGGCTCGGCATTCCTTGCAGCGTGTTGTTGACTTCCCATGTAGTGGCATTTTTCAGCAGCAACGCACGTGGCAGTCACGACATGAGAATATGGAAGAGATGTGATGTAAGAGTGTAATCATTCAACTGCAGAACACGGAGGTTGGGGGGACACCATTACAGACTGTCCTCTGTATTTCTGTAAATAATTTTTCTCTGATTTGTCTGAGAGGCGTGGCATCACGTTTGTCTGGCTCCAAACCCACTACATCCAGGATTACATGTAGTAATAAACAACAAAAGCAAATTGATTTAAAGGAACCTTTGTCTCTTTGGAAATCAAAGCGTACTCTTTCTTGCAGCTGTCTATAAATTCTAAAATACCAAAAACAAGTTAATATATACTTTGTTGCACATGGTAAAAGAATCGTAAAAAATATACAATATTTACACACAAAAATAGCATTTATAAGCCTTACTTTCACTTACATCTTGGCGCACTAATCCTAACTTTCCAAAGTTCCCTGACAGCAAATAATCTAGGTTCTTACCCTTCTTACGAAATCAAAAAAAAAATTGGAATTTAGAGCTGGAACAAAGAACTTCAAATTACCAATGGTAGAGAGACACATCCCGTTAAAATGACACTCTTTGTCAAAAAAAAATACAACAGTACTTTGGCTTACGGTTATGCTGCCCTTCAGCCTTATTTGCAAGATGGCCTTTTTTGATCATGTTCCCAAAATCCACCCCATTTCCTTTGCACTCTTCCACAGGAAGGTGGTAGACCATTATTACAATGACGGCAGGCTTGCCTCACTTTCAAAAATAGTTTTCAAATTGGAAAATGGAGATAACTTTTATCCAAAAGTGAGGACTAAAGTAATACAAGGTTAGTCTAAACACTGTGACTGTCTCACATGGACGACTCGAAGGCCATTTTTTCGATTAGTCTGTCTAAGTTTGCCTTTTGAGCTCTTAAAAGCTTTATCACTCAGTTTGGCAATCTGATGAATATGGACATAATGCAGGTGAAAAATGTTCAGGGTTCCTCTTTAGGCAATCTTGTTTTCCAGGCTTTAAACTCAAAAGTGGCTGTGCTGACTTTAATTCACTTTCTTAGGTTGTGTTACATTTGTCTTTAAAAGCATCAGATCCATTCGTATTAACATTTATGTATTCGGTGTTTTCAACATATCTGCAAGGTTAACCTCACTTTCAATTCCAAGATGGATGACTCAGGAATGAAGTGACTTGTACAGGCAAGGGTTCTACATTAAGGATGTACACATGAGAATCTACAAATTGGACAGACGGTATTGACTTCAGCATTTCTCTGTGGCATTGACTACCGCCATTGCCACATCACAACAACTAGCCGGAGCCTTAGCCACAAATGTCTCATTTGGATAAGTCTTCCACAGTCACCCATTAACAATGCTGTGGTAAGTCTTTCTGCCATCTCACATGACTAAGTCCCTTAGTCCGGCTGTCTGTCGCACCTTCTGGATGTGTGCTCGTAGGAGAAACTGCTTACGGGACAGCTCTCGAACATGCTGCAAAAATTGGAATTAAAAAAATATCTGAAAAACACAGAGTGAAACATTCGCAGGACCTGACTTGGAATTCAAATTCACGTGTCCATCCTGAATGTAAAGCAGGCACATTGATGCTGTGCAGCTGTTTTAACCATACTAGCCATCCAATGCTGTACGCCATAACTCATTAGGGATGTTTTCCAAATCTCAGCTTTCACTGTTATTGGTCCTCTGTTATCGTCCTTTATTATCATCCTCTGTTATCGTCCTCTGTTATCGTCCTTTATTATCATCCTCTGTTATCGTCCTCTGTTATCGTCCTTTGTTATTGTCCTCTGTTATTGTCCTTTGTTCTCGTCCTCTGTTATCGTCCTCTGTTATCGTTCTTTGTTATCATCCTCTGTTATTGTCCTCTGTTATCGTCCTTTGTTATCGTCCTTTGTTATCGTCCTCTGTTATCGTCCTTTGTTATCGTCCTCTGTTATTGTCCTTTGTTATCGTCCTTTGTTATCGTCCTTTGTTATCGTTCTCTGTTATTGTCTCTGTTATCGTCTTCTGTTATCGTCCTCTGTTATCGTCCTTTGTTATTGTCCTCTGTTATCATCCTTTGTTATTGTCCTCTGTTATCGTCCTCTGTTATTAGTCACCTGTTATTGTCCTCTGATGACAGACCCCAGACTAAATGAAGGTCCATTTTTCTGTCACCAAATTACGAAACTGTTCAATGCTAACCAAATTTTGAAGAGCTTTAATTTGGTTCCAACGGTAAATGATTGAAAGAAACTCTGAAGATTGAGATGAAGTTAAAACCAGAGACAAAGCCAAGATTTTGAAAAAGAAAGATACAGTAAGAGGAACCCTGTCAAGGTCAAAGGTCACATCCTCAGTCTCACCTTCAAGAAAGCTTCCAACTCTATTGTGTTCTTTCTTAGGGCCTCCATGAGGTAATAATAGGTGTCTTCAATGGTCATCTCCTCAGCAAAGAGGTTGAGCAACCTGAGGTAGGATAAAATATTCACCCCTCAAGAGTAATTGTTTAGTGGCTACGCTAGTGGCTTTCATGGTAACATGTATCATTTCAGCCATAGCCAAGTAAATTGGACACAGCCTTAGCTGTGCATAATCTGTGCCATATACACAGTTACAAAACAGCCAGTTTCCTTTCTGAAAGAAACCACACACTTTACTATGCACCTATGCTAGATGCAAGAATACTGACATACACAATCCAGCTGACAGTGACAGACAGGGTGAAGCAGATACACACAAACAGAATGGGAGAAGAGGGTAGCATACCAGCCAACACTGAAAAGTTGGAAACCTATTTCACAAGCCCATAGCAAAATAAGCAGGAACATGAGATAAACTATTTACAGTTACATATCCAAACATCCGAGTGTCACAACTTCCATTGTGCCTTAGAAAATAGCGCCCTCTTTTCTCTGCAAATAGCACCCTCTTTTCTCTGCAAATAGCACCCTCTTTTCTCTGCAAATAGCGCCCTCTTTTCTCTGCAAATAGCGCCCTCTTTTCTCTGCAAATAGTGCCCTCTTTTCTCTGCAAATAGAGCCCTCTTTTGCCGGATATGGAAATCAGAATGTCCCAATCGTTGCGCAGTCCATTCTCGTTAAATCAGAACGGTTGGCAGGTATGGGTTAGCAGGTTGGGTAGCATAACTGCTTACTGCTTGTAGAGTGGAGTAGTGGGTACTATCGCCTCGTCTATGTTCATCTCCTCCTGTCCCTCGATCTTACTCAGAGCTGCTTGGATCTCCTCGTCCTTTTGTTGTAAAAGTTGTATGTTCTTCTCGAGATCAACCTGTTGGGAAAAAGGGAGCCATTTCTGTGAAAAACCATCGATTGGCCGATTCAAATTGAAACTTTAAAAAAATCTTTTTCAACCCCTCTGCTGATGTGATGAACGGCACAGTGGATCACTGAGAGAGGATCAACATGAAACATGCTATGAACCTTGAACCCTGCACATTTCAGTGACTGATCTCAAATTTACAGTCATTTTGTACTGTTACAAGTGTAATGGGCAAGTTTCCAGAATTCTTTGGTTCTTCTGTTTTCTGGGTCCTATTTTAGCACGGCTCTGCTCATAAAACTGGCATCAGCAATCTTGCTTTAACCAGAGTTCACTGTATTAAAGGTATGACAGAGAGTAACCTCAGGCCAAAATGCAATTTCCTACACGTGAATGATCCCTTTCATCCCTGCACCCCGTGAAGTACGTGGACTGTTTGATTTGTAATTGCATTAGTCAAGTTTGTTCCAGATTAATGCGAGGAGCGTTCGGGCACTCACCTGCTCTTTTTCAAGTTTGTTGATCATGTCTTCCAGCTGCTGATGTCCTGACTTCAGCTTGTCCTTTGTGATTGTCAGTGAGTCCATTTCAGCCTGCACAATGAAACCGGACAGAGTGTGTCCAATGCTATCCGACATGCCACTCGAGCGGTTCGCATTACAGGCAAAGGCAAGTTCGATCAACAATTTTTCAACTAATGGTCAAGTTTGCCTGCTACCCTGGGTGTATTTTGTGCACAACTCACAAGGACATATCGACAGTTTTACCTTTTGGGGTCACAAACAAGTTTTTTTTAGAGTAGCTAACAAAGTATCAATGTGAAACTCGAAACAGCATCTTATTAAATATAGGAAGATTGAGTGACATATGAAAATAATATCAAATTATATGAGAAGGCAGAAAAGTTGTAAAGAACGAGGTCACCTGGGGCTGTTGTTAGATGTTACTGGTGTATATTGAATTATCGTTTTCAGTTCTGCCCTTTGTAAGATCAGGATGCTGTCAAGTTTCTCTACCTGAAGTCCTTCATATATGTCCTTCAGTCTACGTTTCATTTTGTCTTCCACTGCAGATCTGATTGATGCTTTTATCTCATCGTCAGACAGCTCGGCACTTTTTGCACCTGATCCTGCAAAAAAAAGCAGAAGAGAGATGCAATTAGAGACAGGAAAAAGAGAGAAATAGATCATTTGTAACCGAACCTGGCAAGATGAGTCTGGAATTCCCAGAGCCCCTAAAAGGCCTTGACAAGAATCAAACAAAGTGTAAATAAATAGGAAATGAGTCATTCCATGAGGTTGGGGCACAATTTGTGACGGTGTCCATTGTTACGTGGGTTCCGTAAAAATGAACAGCCATTTCCCTGCCTGTGTATTCCACATTATACATCTTGCAAGGCTGACCTGTTCTTCAGGTCATGACAGGTGGTAAACGTTACCCATGTAACAAGGACACTGTCACAAATTGTGCCCCAACCTCATGGAATTACCCAAATCCCAACATATCTCACTCACATAAAGTCCATTTTCATAAGGATAGTGTAAGGGTGTGCAGGAACCTGGCCCTGCAAATCAACCAAAATCATACTACGCCGGTAAGTGATAGCGCCACCAAGTGATGACAGGCCATTCCCCAATGTGCTGTCTCCTTTGCCGCTGGCCTGCACACCATTTGGTCCTTCCAGGTAAAATTTCTCCTTTCTTATCAAGTGGTTATGCATAAATCATAAATAATCCATTATATTAGGGATTGTAGCATCGTAAAATGGGGCTGGGAAATGGGGTAAATCAGTAAAACTTATTGTAAATTGGAACTCTCTTTCCGTCCTCCGTTAGTAATATTTCTTGATGGAGGCCATCTTGCGTTCACATTGTGAATTCAATCTCTGAAGCAATTGATTTTGAAGAGAAATCCCTTGTTACAGTGGGTAAATGATCCACAGTCTTTATTTTCACTGTAAACATTTGATTTATCACACTGTATAATGACAATTTGAATTAATTCTTTGTCATCACGGTTTGGTTGGACATTCTGACATTTTTGTGATGAAATTGTGTTTCCAAAAGAGATTTGCATTAAGTTGGGGGATGTGCCCTCAAACCTCGACAACACATTCTCACTGATGAAATGCTTTTACAACTGCTTTTTAAACTCAGGTACAGGTAATAGGATCTCCTTCGGAAATACTTTTTCACTCTTTTACTGAACTTGTTTTTTTTCTCTCCTTTTGTGATGATGTTTGTGATTGTATAATTGATTCCCCAGTGTGCTGTCTCCCTTGCCGCTGGCCCGCGCACCACTTGGTCCTTCCAGCTTATGAAGAAATGGAGTGACTCGAACCCCGGTGTTGGTGTTCTTGTTATTTTGGCACCTTCACCCTTAGTGGCGCCCCGCTACAATAGCAAATGGAGTCACATCAAACCAAAGACCTTTACTGGCCATTTCTGATGCAAAGATTCATTTTGAAACAATTCAACTGAATAGCTTCTGGAGGACTGGTGACTGGTCAGTGACAAACCTGCAATGGCTCTAGATTATATTTACACTCACTTAATGGCCGCTTGAGCTGGATCATTTTTTACTATGTACAACTCTTGAAATATGTCAAAAAGAAGAGTCTAAATTTGAGCCCCGAATGGGCCTCGAACTGGACCAAGAGAGGGTGCTATTTTCTTAGCAATGGAGGCTCCTTTGATCAGAACTGACCTTCACTGGTTCACAAACGACTATGACATGCATGCATTAAGTTGCATTGCTACCAACACAATAAACACTCCCGACCAGTGCGGCATCTTTTCAACCAATGAGAGGGCACCTCTGCTCAAGGCAGATCAGAGGAAAAAATAATACTCTGTTCCACCTACACATCATAATAAACTGTCCCAAAATAAACAGAGATGCATTTGGCATTCACTCACCAACCGGTAAGTCGGAGGCAGTAGGGTGAGGCTGGCTTGATGCTGGCCCAGCTGGAGGTTGGCTTGGTGGGTAGAGGTACGATGGGGGCTGTGAGCTCGGGTAGTTGGTATTGGGATAGCTGTTGGGATACTGGCTAGGGGTTGGGAAGGAAGTGGAGGAGGGGTAGCCTGGGTTGTAACTCGGCTGGGTGCTAGGAGGCATAGGCATGGGCATGTTGTATCCGCCTAGACAAGACAGTGGAGGAAAAAAAAGACTCTTTGATTAGAATGTGCGTGCTTGTTTGGAAAAATCAGAGGTGAGATTGACCAATGATAAAAATAGCTGCAAACAGCTGAAAAAAGGCATAAAGAAGCTGAACTGTGAAAATCTCTTATACTTTTGTACACAGCCAGTGAGGGAAAAAAGCTGAAATCCAGAACAAACAAAGCTGAAATCAGCTAAAAAGCTGAGAAATCTTACCCCTGAAACATATTTTAGAGTCAGTGTTAACCACTAGATTATTCCAAAGTGAGCTTGTCAAAGACAAGGTATTATTTTAAGCTGAATGTCCTGACTTTTTAAAATGACAGGATACCACAACCGCTGTCCTTTACAGCATTTGACTATTAGTGGCAGTGTTGCATTTGAGTCTATCAAAAGGCCTTTCACGAGCCCCTTCACAAGTCCAGTCACAAGTCCCTTCACAAGGCTAGTCAAAGAATGTTTTTGTCACAACACCTTTGCATAGCTTGTGAATTGGCTTAGTAAAAGACTGAATGATTTGTGATGGACTGAAAGGGACTTGTGATGGATAACACCGCTTAGTGGTCATTTGTTCAAGATCTGTGTGTCATTTTGTACTGCACTGTTGCTTTTTTGAAACGATGTCTCAAAACTACATTTGCTACAATGCTTGGCTGTGGCCCATGGCTGCTTGAAGGCTCCACACACACACTCAACGCCAAAAAGGCTATTTTGAGTCTCTGTGTGAGAACAAACTCAGTGGGAATTACTCAAGGATTGGGACAAGTATAGACGTCACCTAAAAACATGCTTATCATTTCTCTCCAGAGTCCCAGACTCTGTCACACATCTGTGTATTTCAATATTGAATTCTAGAAAACTTGTCCCGTGTCAAATTGTTGAACATTCTGGACAGTACGGCATATGAGAGATGAAATTACATCCAGATATTAACTTATTTGTCTGAACGAATGAAGGAAGCTTTGTACATGACAGCTAACCTGACCTTTTCGAGTGACAGGTTGTAAACTGATGCAATTTTTTGTGTCTCGTTTCCCCCCATCCAAATCTATCTCGGCTATTTGTGCAATCCAGATGGTATTACCTGAGGGGTACGGCGTTTGGCCAGCCGGCTGCCCTCCGGGCAGATAGCTGGGTCTGGGTGGAGGGTTAGGTTGGGAGGGCCGGCTAAACACAGGGGGACTCTCTCCAAACACGGCCGACATGACTTGAATCAGCTCATGCAGGTCCGACGAAGGCTGAACGAAGAACAAAGAAATTGAAATCAACAATTTATTAAGTGCTTCATCACTAAATTGGCCAAAATATGCATGCCTGTGTTGTTTTTAACCAATTTTTCAAAATGTGTGGCCTATTTATCATAGACGAGGGCAGCAGGAATGATTTTTCATCGTGCACCATCACAGCATAGGTTTGCATAAAAATAGGCACTTTTCAACTCCATGTTCGATATATTGCACATATCATCTTTGCAATCAATGTCTGTATGACCAAACTGCCCAACAACGTGGTAAAGGTCGTCATTCTCTTGTCGAATTCTTTCATTGACTTGAAGAACTTACATATTTCCAGTCGTGGAGGTAAGGCAAGTAAACCTTGCCGTTGGCATCCACATACTTGGACGGCTTGATGAGCATGTCCTTGGTGGGCTTGACGAAGCAGAGGGGTGGATTGTAGGGATGCGTCTCCATCACCCAGATACAGATGGGAATGTTGTAGCTTGTGCCTGCCATGCAATGGAATCAGCCAAAATAATCTTTTCTCATCTGCCTGCCTGGTACGTGTGCTCATGTCATTTTTCTAAGTAAACATGCATGTGGGGATTGACATATAAAAAATCAATTACCCATACAGAAGATGAGAAAATTTTATGAAATGCTATGGGAAAAAGCAATCAGGGAGTTAATTTCATGAAGCAGACTTGACCAAATATTTTCCAATGTCACTCATATAACTTTAATCTACAGCACAGACAGAAAAGGTCTAACATGGATGCAGATTCAGCAACTCTTTTGCCCGTTTTGGGTTGTTAACCTACCTTTGTAGTAGACGGGGACGGTGCCATCAATACACAGCAGTGTTTTCTTTGATCCATCGTTGAAGACTAAATGTAAAAAAGTCCAAAGTTAGCTGCTAACAAATCTGTCACACTGCCCATGAACAATTCTTTGTCAATTCACCGACTGAGGGCAACTTTTCAATGTGAAACCTGATATAAGTTTAAATAGCAATCAACAGTGCATTTGAGCTTTGGTAAATACTCACCATATGTATCCATTTTCGGTCGGACATCCTTGAATGTTGAGAAGACTTGTAAGACATCTCGTTCTGTTTCCGCCGGCCTCTGGTACTGTAGCAATTGAAGTGGAATGATTAATAGAGCTTTCAGATTCCTCACAGTATTGGGGCTGGAGACAATCCTACAACCTTCACTCCCTATTAATTTCTGCTGGGCACCTTACTGAAACTTCCAAAAATCTTCCGCTGTTCAGGCAATCAAGGCTTTGTGCAACTCTTCTTTCAAGGGCTTTCAACTTCCATGGAAGGAAACGGTGGCTGGTTTCTACCTTCTTCAATTCTACAAATCTCTCAAATCAAACTAACGACATATATACATGTAACTCTGTGTTGTGGGTTAAAGGGTTACAAAAAATTTTCACCCCATTAATTGTGACCGCAAAATGAATAAAAAGATCGTGCGTTTCCCCGCCCACTAAAACCCCCCTTTTGGCCATCCGCGCTCCCAGGCTGATTGGATGATGTCATCACCAGAACATGCATAGCGCACAGTACATGCAGTATCGCATGCAATAGACCAAGTTGTCGTTGATGTAGCCTGGCCCAAAGGCAAACACCGTCTCAGTTAAAGGTAGAAATTATAAGACACAGTCCATCCGTGTATTTTTTTAACTGAAACAGTGTTTGCCCTGTTGGCTAAGCTACATCAAACACAACGTGGTCTATTGCGTGCGATACTACATGTACTGTGCGCTATGCATGTTCTGGCGATGACTTCATCCAATCAGCCTGGGAGCGCGGATGGCCAAAAGGGGATTTTTATTGGGCAGGGAAACACAGGATCTTTACACTCATTCTGCGGTCACAATTAAAGGAGTAAACATTAAATTTATGATATTTCTAAATGGTCATGCATTTATTGTTATTTGAAAAAATTCACGCGAACTAAATGTTTTCTATTTCTGAAACCTTTTAATAGTGAAATTCACATATTTTGACACTAAACTTACAGCTGGACTTGCCGTGGGTAGATACTGCTTGATGTATGATACATGCGCTGCTGCCGGAGTGGCCATGGTTCTTCAGGATAATCTGACGACTATTTAAAAAAAAAAGGGTTTGATGAAATACATCCATCTACTGATAATTTCATGTAGTACGACTGGAACTGTAGAACGGCAAATTAACACACCATTTTTTACAAAATGAATTTGATGGTGAAAATGAATTTGATGGTAAAATAAAAAGATAAACAGATAAGTTTGAGCCCATCTATTTATTTATAATGAAGCAATGCTTTGGCTGACAAACGTCCTTGAGAAATTAATTTGCCATCAACAGTAAGTCTCAGATGTAGGAAAGCACAAAAATGAATTTCGCGGAATCCATGAATATGACAGTACATGTACAATGATGTTATTAAACTGAATCTAATGCTCAGCGCAAATTTACAATACTTCATCCTGCCTTGATCTGCTTTTGAATGAAATCCACTCATAGGATAGTTAGCTTTGGAGGGAGTAGGCCTACAATACGCCTTATTGCTAATAGTACTAGCATGGAGGAAGGAAGGAATGGTGCTATATAATAGGCCGTTTTGCAATACTCGACTTAGGCTTCAACTGTTTTTTACTTCCTGACTTTAAAGGTTAAGGTTGTCAGCACAATAATAAGTCCAATAGTGCCACAAAACATCAAGTAAGATGCAGAAGAGCCAAACATTACAGTACTTCAATTTAAGCTAAATGCTTAGGCCCACAATCGGGGATTGGTTTCCTACACGAAGCCTCAGACGGAGAAGAAGTTGAGTATTGGATAACTGCCCTAAATAAATATACCGCATAGGCCTAGCTGATTTGTGCACAACTGTGGAAAGGCATTGTGAGAAGGGAAAAGGGGAAATGTTTGCCCCTTTTTCCGTCCCATGATGCCTTTATACTATTGTGCAAAATCACTCTTGCAGTATTAGCGATAAAGTTTATAAATTTGTACAACTGCAAGAGTCAAGCATAGAGGAGTAAAACACAGTCAAGATTGCGCTGAACATAATTAATACATGTACATGTACTAGCCTACGCCTAAAAACCCTGATAAATTAGTCGGGTGCCCAGCTGTTACCATGTACAATTCCTATACGATTACTACGAGTTTTATACTAGAAATGCTGCGATTGAATTACAGACCTTGAAAATTTATGCAAATTCCTACTCGCTCTCCCAGAATATTCACGGAATCAAATTATTCGTCTTGAAATCTACAAACACTAAACTGTACTATTTCTGAATGTGTGGCAATAAAGGTTGATCTTTCACAACTCCATCGGGAATCCCGCATACGACACACGGTGATGCGCAACGGTCACGACGGTCCGTGACATTGAGTCACCTATAGCAAAGATTGTATAGCGCGGCGCTAGCGCTACACAATCTTTGCCGAAAATATCAGTGATCACTTGTTTTGTCCCGAACGTACGCACGTATACGTCTTTAACATGAACAAAGGTGCAACCTTTCCGTGGACGCGACGTAGCAAATGAAGTCGTTCTTGGTAAGCATGACTGGAGTACGAAGTTGTAATATCAGATGCCATGTTTTTGGAAACATACTTACGGTCGGGCAGTCACAACTCAATAAAGTTGTCTTTAGCTCCGCAACTTAACTGCATGCGTCGGAAAGATGTTGAAGTTTCGTAAATTGTGGGCGTTTTCGAAACGAGTGAATTCGATCAGCTTAGACTTTGGTCGCGCTGGTTCCATCTGTTTCGAAGCGGCGTTCTAAACCACATGTTCAAACTCAGACAGAAACCAGCGAAACGGAAGTGTAAGCCGAATCCACTCGTTTCGAAAACGCCCATTTGAGTTAGATTTGAATTTAAGCTCGTGCCGTAAGGTGTTCACTCAAACTAAACCAATATTCTTTGAGGGGAATAGTTGGTCTATTTATAAAGTTGTGAACAAAACTGGGTCCCAAATTAGACTTGCTATCCTAGTCCATTCATCGAGTGTGAACATAGCCTCGGCCCGCGGCCCAGCGATCAGCCAAGCGGAGGAGCTATCAACCACTGATCGCAAGCTTCCATTGGATGAGCACTCAAGTTGCGCGTTTAGTACCTTG